CATGCCCAGAAGGCTACTATGGGAGTGACTGTCGTGAGCCATGCGCTCATTGCGCCGGAAACAGTACCTGTCATCACGTGACCGGAACATGCACGGAAGATTGTGCTCCAGGCTGGTCTGGTGATTTATGTGATCAAGGTGAGGGTCATTAATATTTAAAGAATACAGTCACACACAGTAGATTGTACAGTATATTGTCTGACAAATTTGGCAGTTTTTCGTCAGGGTGAACTACTACAATGTTGCGTCATGATAAAATGAAACGGTACAATGAATCCTTTCCACTGAAAAAGACACACCACTTCCTGTCTTGATACACTGTACATCTTACTTCCGAAAATTCTACATTAGCCACATGATTATTATAGCAGTTACCGCATGCTCTTTTTGTTTGCACAACGCGCCATTATTCATATTAAATCATCACATTGTAAAATCTGGTTTACTGACCCTCTGAACGAGCGTTTCCATACGCAGCATACATTAATGTGGATATAAAATAGAACGTGTATAACCGTAGACACACACACACACACACACACACACACACACACACACACACACAGGTTCTTTATTAACATCCTACCCCTAGATGACGTCACAGGACAGTCCAACATTTTAGAGGGTGGTAAGACTGGGTTTCTCGGCTTTCTGATGCTTTTAACGATCCCAAAACACCTAGAACTGGCCCTAACCCCAACCCATCTACGTCCCATGAGAGAGTGCAGCCTAGGTCCCACGACTGCTTGCAGCCTATCTACCACCCCTTGAAGTTTTAGACTGTCCCGTGACCTGTGGATTTCCCCTGCTTGGGGTAGGATATTAATAAAGCACCCATATTATATATATATATATATATATATATATATATATATATATATATATATATATATATATATATTAAGGGAAAAAAGCAAACAATCAAGACAATGTCTCTGGAGCGGACGTAATGAATCGAACAACTCCCCAAGTTTGAGATCCATAAATGACAATCATTTTTAGGATCAGGTTAACATTATACTTTGTGTTTTACACACAATCTGTAGCGTTTGTGGTTTAGGCGTTGCAAACACGCTTTGTATTTTCGGGGTACAGGGTTCGATCTCAGCTGCGGGCGATTTGACAGCAGACCGTCTTGCGTTGTTTTCAGCAGTAGTACGAGAGCCGATCGTTTAGTGAGCAATGGCAGTCTACTGTACGTAAAGTAAATCACAAACAGCCATACAATGCATAGGTTGGTTCTGCAAAGTCCTGTGAAGGATACGCAGCGAACTTTTGTGTGTGGTAATACTTACTTAGTTGTTCTCCGTGTTTCCACCCCATACAAAAGTACTGATTTGACATTAAAATTAAAAATTTTAAGTTTAGTATTTCTTTTAATTTCTTTCGACCTCCACAAATTCTCTAGTGCTAAGAAAGCTCCTCTTGCCTTTTGTATTCTTATTTTAATATCTCTATCAGTTCTTCCATCTTTATCTACATTACTGCCTAAATAGGTGTACGACTCCATGTCTTGGAGTGGGGTGCCATTAAGACATTACTATTTGCCTGCTTTATTCTAATTATCTTTGTCTTTCCTTTATGAATTTGCATTGGAACCCACAGGGGCATTTGAAAAAAGAAAGGTACCAAAAAAAAAAAAAAAAAAACATGGAGAAGAGAGCTGGAGAATGAAGTTAAAAAGATGGAGAGGACATGGGGAGAGCTCTATGTGATGGCGAAGGATAGAACGACTTGGCGTGAGTTGGTTGAGGGCCTATGCTCCATTGGGGGGATAGAAAAACAGAAGAAGAAGAATACTTTCTTACTGTTTATTGCATTCACGTCAACGTGTAGGACGTTTATCTTTATTTTATTTTATTGACACCGATCTAGTGTGTGAAGTGGGCAGATATGGCAGCGGCTGTCGAGTAACGTGTGGACAGTGCTTGAAGGGACACTGTGACCACGTGACGGGCGAGTGTCATGGCGGATGTTCTCAAGGCTATCAAGGACCACAGTGTAAGGAAGGTAATATTCTTTTATTGTGCGTTTATTTCATGCAGAAAGTTGTGCTTTGATTACGAATACGGTAGGAACGTCGCCTCTACAGTGAGCAATGGCAAACTCATGACGATTGGCAAAAAACCTTAAACAATCAACAAATTCTGGTGTTCGGTAACAGCGTGATGGAGGGGGTGTAGACTAACATATTAAACCACGACTTCCTGCAGTTTTAAATAGGCCAACCAGCTTAAAAGAAATTCCCGTTTTTGTGAAAGTCCGATAGGCCGGTCTGAATTCACTATTTTTATCATGTATATTTATACGCAAATTAAACTACAGTTTAATTAGTTTGCAACACATAATCATAACTAATTGATTTTACTTCATTTTCAGTGCAATAAAACGCCGTCCTAATAGGGGACGCATTATTTTATATTTTAAAAAGCCTCACCCGAATGTCGTCGGGGGCCCTAATAAAACCTAAAGGTTGAACGGAGTTTCTGGGACTTATGCCCTAGTGATTCTTAGCCGAAAGGTGGCACTTTGTGTCACCAGATGTTTTATCGCTCGTTGTGCGATCCTGGTGGCATCTGACCTCACTTACTCATTTTCGGTGCCTGCTCGACATCGACATCCTCACGTAGCAATTTTATTTGTCTACAGGCTCTTACCAATGCACGCCGATAGGTAGCTTGTCCTCTTCCCAGCGTTGCCACCTCTTGAACTATCATGCCCACGTTGTCAGGGATATCACGCGTCCACCGCTTTCCGGAACCATACACTTCATGACAGTTCTTTCTAAACCATTATGACGTTTAACATGGTCTAAGTGTGTCAGTTTCTTAGAAACTACCCTTCTATGTGCTCATCATCATCATGTAGCAGGTCCTTTGCTGAACTTCGCTCTCATCACAGTCTGCCTGAAAGAAACTCTGTCTCTCGCCAGTTCTCCCGCCTGATGTACTTTCATACTCAAGGAGTCACTTATATCCTGTGCCCATCTTTGTTTCGGTCGGCCCCAGCTCTCCTTCCTGGTACCTTGCCTTCTGCTATAATTTTTCCCAATTCGTCGTGGCGCTTGATATAACCGAAATATTTCAGCTTCCGAGACAGAATTCTGTTTATTAGCCAATCTTCCTTGATGTTCAGATCTTTCAAGATGTCAGTATTTCTCCTCTTCTTTGTCCAAGATATTCTGAGAATCTTTCTATAGCATTCCAGCTCAAAAGCCCCTATTCTCTTTCTTAAGGACTGAGAGATAGTCCACGACTCACATCCGTATGTAGCCACAGGGAAGATGCATGCTCTCAAAATTCTAATTTGGATCTTCTTGCTGGTGCTTAACTATATATTTTTTTTTTCTATGAGCTAGCCCCCTTTTATGTTGAGATCCTTAATAACGTCACTTTTTTCTTTCTCTGCCTTGCCTATGATTCTCTAGGTTGTAAGTTAGACGTTAGTCGATATTCTCGGTTCCAATTTCACGGCAAACGGGTTAGCCCATAATTTTTCCCTTTCTGTGCAAGCGAAAATCACGCAGAATGCCTGTCACTATTCCATGTGGAAAAAAAGAAAAGAAAATTGAAACGAACAGCAGTCCCGGCTAAGCACCAGCATAAACACGTATTAAAAGCATAAGGCAACATGCTACAGGTGAGAAAACATGATTATTTAGGATCTATCTATAATGAATACCATAACAAATTACGAATAAATCATCATCATCATTTTCATCATCAGTTTCCACTTGCGCGGTGGGAAAAACAGTTTGCAATCCCGTGCTTGATGTGTAGCAATGGTTAGATAACATTCGGTATCGATGTCAAGATTTGTAATGTCAATAGGTTTAGCACACCAGTTCCACTAATTTAACAAGCAGACACTGGATGATAGATAAGATATTGAGTAATAGAATTTACACAGTGCAGTTAAACATAATAAACGTTCAGTCTGAAACAAAATCTCTCTCTGCAGGCAGCAAACAATTGGCGAATCACACAGGTGAATTAAAATGTTATAGCAATTACTACTGACAAATATATCCTCTTTATATTTGCTATACCTTGGTGTCTTCTTTTTGTGAGTCAATAAAAGCTGACCTGCATATTGTATGCATAGTTTTTAATGTTGTTGAATCAATAAAATACATGTTAATGCCTGATATTAATTGCTGTTATCTATCCTTGATATTGTATGTATGTAATAATTCTGTAACACTTTATTGTTTTAACTATCAGTCAAAATATCTATCATGTCTCATAGCCTGTGATAGATCTGTCAGTTCCACTCTATGATTGAGAATCTTGGATACAAAATAGCATTAAAGAAAAAAACCCGCATAATTATGAAATTAATTAATTTTTGTCTCTTCAATGAAGGCTAGTTGCAATGGGTCTATATAGCTGTCTGTCGCATTAGGTATACATTTCCCCCGTCTGTCCTTGCTCCATATCTTACTGTTAACCATACGTTGTATGAATGTATACCTTTTGTCACCTAACTTCGACTGTTTTCTCTAGTATGATTTATTTTTTTAATAAGTTTGACATGAGATATCTTTGTCTGACAAATGCACCATTAATATAAGGGTAATTCACGCCACATAGAGTATAATGCAAGACCATTTAAGTGTATTACGTCTATTGTGCTAACCTTGTTTGAACACTAGTCGATATCCGATGCATCTTGAGGTTAACCTCAGTTCAGCTGCCTTTAATTTCCAGATTATGTTCAGTTAGGTTTCACAGGTCCTGTCAGGCTTTATAGGTCCTGTCAGGTTTTATAGGTCCTGTCAGGTTTTATAGGTCATGTCAGGTTTTAAAGGTCCTGTCAGGTTGCATAGTTACTGTCAGGCTTTATAGGTTCTGTCAGGTTTTATAGGTCCTGTCAGGCTTTATAGGTCCTGTCAGGCTTTATAGGTCCTGTCAAGCTTTATAGGTCCTGTCAGGCTTTATTTGTCCTGTCAGGCTTTATAGCTACCGTCACTTTTTATAGGTCCTGTCATGTTTCATATG